TGTACATGAAATCCAGAGAGCAGCTCTGCGCAGTCCCCCCTCCTCCAGTACAGGGATCTGGGGATCTAACGCAATTCATCAAACACCTTTACTCACCGAGCAGTCTTGCTGAGTGTTATTTTTCACAGAGCAGCAGCTAGCTGAGACTCTTGTTTGTGTCTGACTCTCATCCCAACCCACCCCTAGCCTTACCTAAGACCTAGGTCAGTAGAAAATGGCCCCAGGATTTGACAGAGTAGGCAGAACTGAGGACAAGGCAGGGACAAGCTGGGGTCAGAGGGGCTCCCTAAGTGCCTTTGATGGCTCAGGCCTCCCTAGAGAGGGGGCTGTCCAAGGGAAGATCACTGCTGCTGGGCGCCCCAGGGCTGTACTGACTCCTTTTCTCCCTCTGGGAAATGGGATGATAATGAACCAGCGGCACAAGCCTTGGAGAAGGATAAGGGAGGGTTCAAGGTGGGTGGGGAGTCCCTGAGCCTATCTCCTCTCTGGGCTGAGATGGCAGGTAACAGGACTCCGTCCAAGCCAGGTCAGGTGACCTGCTGACTGCAGGGGAGCCCAGAGGAGGCAGCTGGAGTGTTGATGCACCAACTTGGATAGTATGGGGACCCCCAGAGGCTGTTTGCTCCGCTGCGCACAGAACTCTGCGGGAAACCCCAGCACTCTTTCCAGACCACCCATTGTCTCGACTGAGCACATCTACCAACTCCATCATCTCAACAACTTAATGGTGACCCGTCTTGAAATCTGTCCTACCTGCTCCAACATCTCCTGTGATTCCTTGCTCTACCTGGAAAAAGAGTAAACTCTTTCGTCTTCGTCTACACGTCTCTTCCTCCCTGCTTCTTTCTTTTTTCTGTCTTTCATCTGTTATTAAGAACTTTGGGCCGTGGCTAGAGAGATGGCTTGCAGTAAGTTGCTAATCGGGAGAACCTGGGTTGAATTTCTAATGCCCACATGGCAGCTTGCCGCAGACTCTCACTCTCGTTCCATGGGCTCTGGCGCCCTCTTCTGACTGCTACAGACCTGCTGGTAAAACACCATACATTAAAAACAAAACTGAGGAGGGCTGGAGAAGGAGCTCAGGGGTTAAGAACGTGCGCTGCTCTTGCAGAGGACCATAAATTGCTTCCCAACAACCACACATGACAGCTTCCGGGAGGGGAGGGGTGTCTGACATCTCATATGTACATAGTCACACACAAGCACACATACACATAATTTAAAATAATAAATAGTTGGGTTGGAGGGATGGCTCAGTGGTTAAGAACATTGGCTGCTCTTCCAGAGGACCTGGGTTCAATTCCCAGCACTCACATGGCAGCTCACAACTGTCTGTAACTCCAGATCTGACACCTTCATACACACACTTGTGTGTATAGGCAAAACACCAATACACATAAAATAAAAATAAAAAAATAAATAATTAATAAACAAACAAATAAAACTTTAAAAATAGCCTGGGGAGCACATACCCACAATTCCAGTACTCAGGAGCACTGCCGTGTGTTTAAGGCAAGCCTGAGCTACATAACAACAGCCTGTCACAAACAAAAAAGACAAAGCAGAAGAACACAACAAGAACAAAAATACAAAACAACCCTACTGTGTGCAGGCACTGGTCTGGGCATGGAAATCAACCGTGCCTATCAGACTGGGTCCCTGTCCTGTGGGAGCCCACAGATGGAACTTTCCAGACAGGCACATCAACAGTCGTACCCTGGGAGAGCGGAGCTTGGCCGCGGGAGCCCTGGCAGCCCTACGAACATGGAGACTGCAGTAATCTGCAGGCTGGGTGTCGGGGAGCTCGCAGGAAGTAGAGATAGTTCTGAAAGCCCGGCAATCCTGAAGCTGAGCTCTGTGTCACCGTGGCTTGTCCCCTGCAGCTCATGTGGGAATTTAGTTCCCCGTGTAAGAATTCTGAGAGGGGCTGGGGTCTGTGTGGGTGAGGAGGTTGTAGGAGCCCGCTCCACACTTGGATCGGTACAGTTTTCATGAGATGGGGTTAGCTCTTGCCAGAGGAGACTGTTGGTAGGCGTGGCTTTCTGCTTTCCACCAAGTGATGAGAGCATGAGGCCCTCACAGGTGTAAACTCACAGACATGTAAATTTCCCGGTCCCAGTGTCATAGCAACGGAAACCAGCCTATAGCAGTCTGCATAGGGAAGAGGGAACATGGTCCATGCCACAGCACAGCTGCGGCTGCGCCGGCTTCTCCCCAAGCCTGGCCTCGAGTTCTATGAGGATGGTGCACTGGAGAGGAGGGGAGGAGGGGGTGTGGGTCTCATACAGTCAGTGCTAGCCCATGGAGAGAGCCCTCCTGTTCTGGATGTCACAAGCCCTGGATAACGGAAGTCTGAAGTCAGGTTGTGAACTATGTTCCTCCTGAGATGAGGGGTAGAACTTCCCTTGCCTCTTTCTACCTGCTGCCATTTCCCCGTGCTCCTCCAGGTCCCTTGTCACTTGGCACCCCTCTGACCCCTGCCTGTAGTCACATGGCATGTCCTCTTCTCCTGTTTTCTGTTTCTGAGAGTCTCATGTAGCCTAGGAGGGCCTCAAACTCCCTGTGTAGCCGGGTTGGTCTCAAACTCGCAGTCCTCTCTCCTCCACGCTCTACTTGCTAGGATTACGGGAGCGTATGCATCACCATGAATGGTTTATGTGGGCCTAGCAATTGAGCCCAGCGTTTCCTGCATGCCAGATGGGCACTGTAGCAACTAAGCTACATTCCTTTCTGGTTTATTTATCTATATCTTATTGTTTTAAATATTTATTTATTTTAATTTTCTGTGTATGAATATTTTGCCTGCATGCATGCCGGATGCACGTGGAGTCCAGGAGAGGGTGTTGTAACCCCTTGAGTTAGACTTAGAGGTGGTTATGAGCCATCCTGTGTGTTCTGGAAACTAAAATCCGGGCTCTCTGGAAAAGCAACCAGTACTCTTAACTGCTGATCCTTCTCTCCAGCCCCTGACTCAGGCTCCTGAGTGCTGGGGTTACAGGCACACACTGCCATGCCTGTCTCCCTTCTAAACTTTTAATAAGGACAACAGAGATATTACCACAGAATGACCTCATCCTAATTTAATGAGGTAATTTGATCTATAAAGACCTTATTCCCAAATAAGGTCCTGGTCAGAAAGGAACTCAACATATATCTGGGCAGGATACAACTGCACTACTCAAAGAAAGGTGGGTTTGTGGGCACTTCTGAGTCGAGCAACTGTGGCCCTGCTTTGAGATCACATACATATCAGGTCGGCAGATGCCTGGTTTTCTTGAGTGTGCTCCTCCCTGAACAAATTCAACACCTCCTGCCCTCTGCTGTCCATGGGTGGGAAAAGCACACTGGAGTCCACGGAGCCATTATTCAAATGCTTGGGGGGCCTGAACCTCCCCAGCTGTGTTGAGACACCAGTTCTCTGGCCCTGGACATCACTGCTTTAGCATCAAATGAATCTAGGTTTCCAAACTGTTTCCTCTCTGGCAGCCTTGCTCTGTGACCCTGAGATAGTTTCTCAGCCTGAGTCTCCATCACTGCCTTAGGGAAGCAGTGAGGATACCCATGTTCCCACACTGCTCACTACCCAGCAACCACTCATTCAAATATTAATTATATTAATAAGTGTGTGACTGACTGCAAAGCTCTGAGGACCAGAGAACAGTAAGTGCATGTAAATTATACTTCTGGAACCTGCTATGTGCCCAACTTGTTCTCCTTGGATCTTCAAGGGCCCAGCTATGTCAGTCATAATAATAGTTAATAATATCAGAACATACACTAATAATTAATTGGCATTTCTGGGCTCTTTGAAGCCTAAAGAACTGTAATTATGAGGTTTCTCAATCCAAGGATACTATCATATTACACCATCGTATCTCCATTATATAGATTTGGGGTAAAATATATTTTCTTAGGAATAATTTTCTCTTTCATCAATTTTTAAAAACATTTTGTGTGTGTGTGTGTCTGTGTCTGTGTGTGTGTGTGCCTGAAGAGGTCAGGAGAGGATGTGGGGAATCCCCTGAAGCTGGAGCAAAGTTCGCCTTTCTGAACCTTGTTTTATAAAACCAGGAAGTTGTTGGACATTTAGGTTTGGTATGTCAACACTTAGATTGAACTTGGCACAAGAGAGTCCACAAATGTCTGTGACTTAGGCTACTCAGCTCCTAGCTGGAGCTGCCTGAAAGCATGGGACTTTTTATCCTGGTGATACTTCACCATGCTCAGGTGCATCTTTATCTCTGGACGTAAGCGGTTTCTGAGAAATGGGGGCTACCGCGTGGATCCGGTGTCTCTGAGGTTGAAGAGCAGCCGTGTGAGGCAGTCTGGGGTGGCAGTGTGTGAAAGAGGCATTGGAGACAGAGGCTGCCAGTTGGAGGCCAGGAAGAAGCCATTGAGTACAGAGTGAATGGGTACTGAAAATGAAAAAGTATTGGGGGGGGGTCCTTGGCACGTGGTCCCTTCCCCTCTTGGGCTATCAGTTCCCACATCTGTAAAGGGACAGTAATTGTGTTGCTCAGAGAGTCACTGTGAGTGCCAACGTGACTCAGGGCATGCTGCCCCATGCCCTGCGAAATGCTCCCAGCATCCCTGTCACATGGAGACACATGCACACACTGCATGCACACATTTGTTCTTAATCTCTGCTCTAATCTGCTCACCACTTCTGCCTACCAGGTCCATCATTATTTGCAGTATAACGCTGGCAGTGATACCCCCTCCTTGGTGTGTCACATAAGAATGATTATAATCCCAGGTCACTAAGTTTCTGTGTTGAGATAGTGCCCAGAAAGCACCCATCCACTAGTACCAAGGACTTAGCCTGTGATCGGTCACACACGTGATTTCCCCATGTTTTGGCAGCTTGTGGAAGTCCTTGAACCACACACAACTTCAGCAAGTAACAGACACACTAGACCCCTGCCTGCTGCTGTATTCCCGTCTAGAGACACCCTCCCAAGGGTCCCATTCCAGAGCACAGTGAGGCCGATTAACAAAAACACATAAAATTCCTTTATTTCTGAGTCTCCCCTTGTAAGAGAGGTCTGGAAATAAAGGAGATTTAATACAAAATTACATAATTAGTCAAATACTTCTCGGTTAGGCTCTCTCTTTTGTGCAGAGAGACTAGTCCCGGCCAGCTAATAACCCCAGGGGACCCCAGGGTGGCACCAGGCATGACTGGGGAAGGCTAGGGGCCAGAGGCACCCTGGCCAGCTCTTCTGCAGCAGGGAGCCAGACCGGAAAGTGGGCAGGGTATGTCACCACCTTAAGAAGTCCCTAAGGGACTTCCAGAGCTTGGTGACCCAGAGATTGGCGCCGAGGTCGGACAGGTACTGGATCTCGGGCGTGAGCATGCGCCGGCAGAGCTGCTCGTGATGCGGCCCGATGCTCTTCTTGAGGTTGTAACCTAGGATGGACTTGACGCCCAGGGGCTGCCAGGGCTGCATAGCCGAGTCCTGGATGGCCTCGGCATCCACCGCTTGGCCGCCCTCGATGCAGATGCGGCGCATGCGCTCGTTGGCTTGGCGTAGCTCGGCCACCTCGCGCACCATGCGCTCGCGCCCGAAGGCCTCCACCTTTCGCCAGAAGCTGGCATTGAAGTGGCGGTAGAGGTGCACATCCAGCAGGTTCCAGGCGGTGGCACGGCGGTACAGCTCGCCCGAGAGCCGCGGCACCGGCGAGTCGCGCCGCGCGTTGAGCTTGAAGTACAGCACGTCCTCCAGGTCCCAGCAAAGCAGCTCCCGGAGCAGCACCAGGGACTCGTCGAAGTACTCCTGCAGCAGCACCAGGTGGAAGCGGCGCTCCACCTCCAGGATGTGCTCCTGCACGCGCGGGCTGCCCGGGTCCAGGCCGCTGTCGTAGCCTAGGTCGAAGAAGAGTAGGTTGCGGAGGTAGTGCGCGTTGTAGCCGCTCGGGTCGTAGTAGCGATCGGGGTCCTGCAGGAACTCTGCCAGCTTGTCGTGGCTCGACAGCTTCCAGGTGAGCGGCACCAGGGACCCAAAATAATGGAAGGAAGACTCGAAGAGACGCGCAGGGTCGCGGATGACGGTGATGAAGGCAGCGCCGGGCCGCACCAGCCCGCGCACCTCTTCGTAGTGGAAGCGCATGTGGTTGCAGATGATGTTGAAGCAGGCCCCGGGTCGGTAGTCCTGCACCAGGCTGCGTGTGAAGTAGGACGGGTAGTGGAAGTCGTTGCGGCCACTGGGGAAGGCGAACTTGAGCCCATGCTTCTGGCCGAAGCGGAAGAGGATGTTGAGCAGCGTGCTGCTGGCGGTCTTGTGTGTCTTCATGAACACGATGTCTTGCCGAGGTTGGCACCTTCCAGCAGAGCCGTTGCCGGGAGTGACCACCTCTGACTCACTGGGAGCAGGGGAGCAGGGCGCTGCGGGCTCCGAGGTCCTGGGGGAGACAGAGGGATGAAAAGCAGTCAGGGGCTTGCAGGTGACAGTCCCATGGGAGGGTCTGGTAGGAGCTTGATCTGGATCAGCCTGATGGCCACCTACTAATGCAAGCCTGCATTAGTTTGAACACTTTGCTGGGCAAGCACTCTCCCAAGCTGAAATTCCTCCTTCCCGAGATTGATGTTTTTTTTCCGTGTGTGTGTGTGTGTGTGTGTGTGTGTGTGTGTGTGTGTTTGGCGGCGGGGGAGGGGGTTAGTTGGTTATTACCAATATTTTTCAGGTTACCTTAATACCACTAACTGTGGCACAGGCTGCACCAGATATATGCTGAGCAGCCGCATGGGGAGATGGGATAATCTGGCTGCTTCGGAAGAGGGACACATTCACATAAGCCCAAGTTTGAAAAAGTTTGAATCCGGGCCCTGGGCCAAATGAGTGTTTGGGGACAAATCACATCTCTATCCTGGCCCCCACTGTGGCCTTGTGGGAGCCTCAGATTGGACACAGTGTTAGGCGGCACTCGCGCTCTGTGGGGCGGGATCTGCCCTTATCTCCACTTCACTGAGGGACACAGTGAGGCCTGGGTGGCACCGAAGAGTTCTGCCAGAATGTCTGCCCCACGCAGCACGGTGCAGGTGGACCATGACCGGTGCCCTGCCCTGCTCCCTCCGTTGGATGGCACTCACGTGAAGGCCACGTTGGGGTGGAGAGGCGGTACCACATAGGAGTAGAGCAGCAACAGGAAGCTGGTAAAGAGAGCGCCCAGCACCAGCCCCTTGGCCTTGGACTCCCAGGGCTTCTTCGACAGCAGAGGCATCTCAGAGAACTGCTAGGGACAGTACAGAAGAGCAGAAGGGTCAAGAGGTTAGTCTCATGGAGTCTCCACAGCTGCCAGGGCTCACAGTAGGGGCCCCGCTTTCGCCAGCTCTGCGGACTCCCTGGCAGGATCCTGACAGGGTAGAGAGATAAGACAGCAGCTGGAGGAGAGGAGGCAAAGGGGCAGAGAGAAGATCCTGCTGAGCACGGTGCTAACTCCTGACTGACTGGCAAGGCCATGGGAGTAGGCCTTTTAGGCTTTATAATGAATGCATTCCGAGGGACAAAAGAAGTACCCTCTTAGTCCTGCGCCCCAGGCCCGCTCATAGGGAAGTTTAGAATCTTTACTGTTTCAGAAGCCTTCCTGTCTCCTGTGAAAAAAAGAAAAGAAAAAGATATCTAGTTTATAGCTATGTTCAAAATACTGCATGGAAAGTAGTTATATTAAAAACTGCTAACTCAGCCGGGTGGTGGTAGCACACGCCTTTAATCCCAGCACTCGGGAGGCAGAGGCAGGCAGATCTCTGTGAGTTCGAGACCAGCCTGGTCTACAGGAGCTAGTGCCAGGACAGGCTCCAAAGCCACAGAGAAACCCTATCTTGGAAAAAAAACAAAACAAAACAAAACAAAAAAACATGCTAACTCAGCTGGGTGGTGGTGTCCTAGGCCCTTCTTTAATCCCAGCCCTTGGGAGTCAGAGGCAGGTGGATGTTTCTGAGTTTGAGGCCAGCCTGGTCTACAGAGTGAGTTCCAGGACAACCAGGGCTACACAGAGAAACAAAGAGACAAAACCGCTAACTCACTGTAACAGGTGTCTTAGTGAGTTTTTGCTGTGGTATGCTTGTTTGGAGAGCAGTTTGACCTGGATGCAGTGGCCTTGCCCACAGCAGACAGAGATGTGAGTGGTAATGGAGGAGGCTTCAGAACTGGAATCCAGGAGAGAGTGGAGGCTCGAGTAGGGGGACTTTTCCACTTTCCCGTAGGTGTAAAGCCAAGGTCTGGAACTTTCCACTTCTCTCCCAGCTGATGCTCCCAAGCCCCCGAGGCGGCAGGAGGTCATACACGCCGCCATGTGACCAAACGCACGCTACCAAACGCATCTGGAGGCAGCACCGCCAGGCAGCCTCCATGGGAAAGTTACCAAAGGTGCCCACGGCCGCTTGCTGAGAGGAGCCCTCCGGGCCCACCTCCAGAAAAGGTGGCAGCACTTGCTGAGCCTGTGGCTCGTCAACTAGGAAGTTTGCCTCACAGAAAAGGACAGAGAGAAGCAATTGTCAGAGGAAGAAACCACACAGGAGGGAACATTTCCTCCTGTGACAATGGAGAAGCATCGCTCACTCTGTGAAGCTGGGTAAAGGCTGGGGAGAGTGTTTCCGGAGGGCAGGGATGTCAAACGAGGGTCACCCACCTGTCACTATGGATAAGTGTGTCAAGTGTACAAAGGCATTGTGCCAATGGCAACTTGATTGGAAAGAGAAAGAGAACGTCCGTGAACATCAGCAAAGGACAAAAGGGACATCATGTCTACCAGGCCCGTCCCAGAAGTCATGATGAAAAGGAAGTGAGTTAAACCAAAGAGCAACACGAGCTAGTTGCTCGCTAACATGCTCGAGGCCCTTGGCCAATTCCCCAGCAAAGAAAAAAGGAGAAAAAGAAAGAAAAAGCCTGGCATCTGGGAGACTGGGCCAGTCTTAGCTACATGTCCAGTTTGAGAGCAACCTGAACGACATGAGGTCCTGTCTCACTCAACACATCAACAGAAGGTTGGAGAGATGGCTCGGCCATTAACCTCTAGGCTCATAACCAAACCTATACGAGTACTTGATGGGCTGGAGTTCAGTTCCCAGCACCCATATCGGGTGGCTCACGACTGCCTGTAACTCCAGCTTCCAGGGGATCCAGTGTCCCCTTCTAGACATTGTGGACTCTCTCTCTCTCTCTCTCTCTCTCTCTCTCTCTCTCTCTCTCACACACACACACACACACACACACACACACACACTTTACAATAAATAAATCTTAGCCAGATTAAGTGGCACACACCTTTAATCCCAGCACTTGGGAGGCAGAGGCAGGTGGATCTCTGAGTTCAAAGCAGCCTGATCTATATAACTAGTTCCAGGCCAACCTGGCCTGCATAGTGACACCCTGACTCAAAAACCAAAATCCTAAAAATCAAAAGCAAAACAAAAAAAAAAAACTATAGAAAATTCTAGAGTGGGGGCTGGAGAGATAGCTCAACGGTTAAGAGCACTGACTACTCTTCCAGAGGACCAGGGTTCAATTCCCAGCGCCCACATGGTGGTTCACAACTGTCTGTAACTCTTGTTCCAGTTCCTCTTTCACACAGGCAAAACAGAAGTGCACAATAAATAAATAAATAAATAAATTTTAAAAAAGAAAGAAAATCCTAGAGTGATATGCACTACTCCTCCTGGTCCACATATGTCCCTAGGTAAATATATGTGAAAGTCTGGACAAAAGCAAAATGCAGTGATGGGCGTGGAATGTGAGTGTTTGTTACCAAAATTGCTTAGAACTAGAGATGTTTCTGATTTTGTACCTTTTATTTTGGAATATTTGCGTATGCTTAAAGAACTCTCTTGGTGGGGCTGGGGCGATGGTATAGCTGGCAAAGTGCTTGCCAACCAAACATGAAGATGAACTCAATTTCTCTACCACCCACACTAAAAAACAAAAGCCAGGACTCTTGTTATCTTAGTGTCGGGGAGGCAGAGACAGGGGACCCTGGGGCTCAGTGACTGCTTAGCCAGTCAGCAAGTGCAGGTTTGGTGAGAGTCCTCGCCTCAAAAAGTAAGGCGGATGAAGTTTGGCAGTGTGGCACGTGCCTTTAATCCAGCACTCAGGAGGCAGAGGCTCTGGTCTACAGAGCGAGTTCTAGGACAGCCCAGGCTACACAGAGAAACTGTCTTGAGAAACAAACAAAAACATGTAAGGTGGAGCATTATCAGGGAAGAGACTTCATGCTGGCCTCTGGACTCCACATGCATGTGCATACATAAACACATGCACAGATTCACATGAACATGTATATACACATGAGAGACCTTGGTAACAGCCAAAACGTAAGCATGAAATTCATTTGCTATCTGCCTAAAATGCATAGCCAGAAAGAATTTTATGGTGTTTGAAATGTACCTCTGTTTGATTGTGACTTATCACATGAGGTGAGATATGGGATTTTCCACTTGTGGCATCATGTTGATATTCAAAACATTTCAGATTTTAGATCATCTTCAGTATCAGATTTTGGGCTGAGGACACGCAGCCTGTGTTCTACATTTCCACAGTCTGATCCTCTGAACCTAGCTGGGAGAGGTATAGATATTTCTCTACATTACTCATTTTTACAATGGTTGCATTTTAAAAAGGATCACAGACAATTTAATAAAAAAGGAAACATGCCAGGTGGTGGTGGTGCATGCCTTAAATCCCAGCATTCAAGAGGCAGAGGCAGGCGGATCTTCGTGAGTTTGAGGCCAGCCTGCTCTACAAGAGCTGGTTCCAGGACAGCCAGGGCTGTTACACAGAGAAACCCTGTCCTCAAAAACCAAAAATAAAATAATAATAATGAGGAGGAGGAGGAGGAAAAGAAGAGGAAGAAGAAGAAGAAGAAGAAGGAGAAGGAGAAGGAGAAGGAGAAGGAGAAGGAGAAGGAGAAGGAGAAGGAGAAGGAGAAGGAGAAGAAGAAGANAAGAAGAAGAAGGAGAAGGAGAAGGAGAAGGAGAAGGAGAAGGAGAAGGAGAAGGAGAAGGAGAAGGAGAAGGAGAAGAAGAAGAAGAAGAAGAAGAAGAAGAAGAAGAAGAAGAAGAAGAAGAAGAAGAAGAAGAAGAAGAAGAAGAAGAAGAAGAAGAAACGGGACAATACAATGCTTCTACAGGTTTGGAGGTTTTGTTCTTTTTTTTTTCCCCCTAAGCAGTGTGGAGTTAACCTAGGTCTCCAGCATTCCAGGCAAGAACTCTACCACTGAGCTAGGCACGCGCTCACACTTTAAAGTTTACAAAGCACAAACCAGATGTGATGACACATGACTGTAATCCCGGGGGAAAGCCGTGGATCAAAAGTTCAGACCAGCCTAGGCTACAGTGTAAGACAGTACCACAAAAACAAGCTAAACCACAAACCAGTCAGGAGGGAAAGGGGTGGACCTCAACAACTGCTTTGTTTATTTAGAGACAGGACCTCACTACGTAGTTCTGGCTGTCCTGAAACTCATTATGTGGACCAGGCTGGCCTCCAAGTCACTGAGATCTGGCTGCCTCTGCCTCCCGAGTACTGAGGCTACCGGTGGCGCCACCACCGCCAGGCTGGACCTCGGCATCAGGATCCCTCAAGGCTGGGCGGGGCTGGGCTTTAACAAGGACTGCGAACTAGCCGGGGATGCTTTCTCGGTTATAAACTGGAGAAAAGCTGAGGAGAGGAGTCTAGCTGAGGAACCTCCTGAGCGGTCGGTATACTGGTATCACTAGCTGCAACCCTCCTGAGTTCTGGGCACCGAGTGGCGATGCGAGGCTTGGGGGAGCTGCCCACGAACCACAAAACTGCCACCAGCTCTCTGCTTCACGGGGCCCAGGAGAAAGCCGGCTCACAGACCAAGGCTCGGGCCCAAAACAGACAGTGAACACAGGAACTTAGTTTCTCTAGCGGGAGGGATCAAGATTCTCTTAGTTGGCTCTTCGTAAGCCTGAGGGCCCACCCTGCCCCGGCAGCCCCACTCACCAGGGTACTCCTCCGGAACTCCGAGAAGCTGCAATGGTGGAGGACTGGCAGTAGGGGGCAGAGCAGCATCCTAAGCTGCCAGGCAGGGGCTTTCTGGCCCACCCAGGACAGTATGTTCCCCCACACACGAAACGTCACTCATTCACTCATTCTCCTGTTTGGGTTTTCCCAAACCTCACCAGCTCCCTGCGTATACTGAGCCCTGATGGGACCACTAGAATCTCTGCCAGCAACTGACGCCACTCAGTGGGTACCATCACGTTGTACCATCGC